AATTTTGTGTCCCCTTGTTGCTGTGTCCCATCTCTGGAACATTCTGTCTCTGTCCACCTTGTCGGTTCCTCTCAGTATTTTATATGTCATTACCATGTCCCCCCTGTCGTGTGTGTGTTTTATGGAGGTGTAAACAGGTCAGTTCAACACAGCAACATTCACGGTATAAAGAGCAGTCTTCTATACTCCAGGCTTTCTTAACCTGGGGTACCCATACCCATCATGGTATGGGAACCAAATAATAGGGGTATGGGAACCAAATAATAGGGGTATGGGAACCGAATAATAGGGGTATGGGAACAAAATAATAGGGGTATGGGAACCAAATAATAGGGGTATGGGAACCAAATAATAGGGGTATGGGAACCAAATAGGGGTATGGGAACCAAATAATAGGGGTATGGGAACCAAATAATAGGGGTATGGGAACCAAATAATAGGGGCATGGGAACCAAACAATAGGGGCATGGGAACCAAACAATAGGGGTATGGGAACCAAATAATAGGGGTATGGGAACCAAATAATAGGGGTATGGGAACCAAATAATAGGGGTATGGGAACCAAATAATAGGGGTATGGGAACCAAATAATAGGGGTATGGGAACCAAATAATAGGGGTATGGGAACCAAATAATAGGGGTATGGGAACCAAATAATAGGGGTATGGGAACCAAATAATAGGGGTATGGGAACCAAATAATATGGGCATGGGAACCAAATAATAGGGGCATGGGAACCAAATAATAGGGGTATGGGAACCAAATAATAGGGGTATGGGAACCAAATAATAGGGGCATGGGAACCAAATAATAGGGGTATGGGAACCAAATAATAGGGGTATGGGAACCAAATAATAGGGGTATGGGAACCAAATAATAGGGGTATGGGAACCAAATAATAGGGGTATGGAAACCAAATAATAGGGGCATGGGATCCAAATAATAGGGGTATGGGAACCAAAAATAGGGGCATGGGAACCAAATAATAGGAGCATGGGAACCAAATAATAGGGGCATAGAAACCAAATAATAGGGGTATGGGAATCAAATAATAGGGGTATGGAAACCAAATAATAGGGGTATGGGAACCAAATAATAGGGGTATGGGAACCAAATAATAGGGGTATGGGAACCAAATAATAGGGGTATGGGAACCAAACAATAGGGGTATGGGAACCAAATAATAGGGGCATGGGAGCCAAATAATAGGGGTATGGGAACCAAATAATAGGGGCATGGGAACCAAATAATAGGGGTTTGGGAACCAAATAATAGGGGCATGGGAACCAAATAATAGGGGTATGGGAATCAAATAATAGGGGCATGGGAACCAAATAATAGGGGTATGGGAACCAAATAATAGGGGCATGGGAGCCAAATAATAGGGGTATGGGAACCAAATAATAGGGGCATGGGAGCCAAATAATAGGGGTATGGGAACCAAATAATAGGGGTATGGGAACCAAATAATAGGGGCATGGGAACCAAATAATAGGGGTATGGGAACCAAATAATAGGGGTATGGGAACCAAATAATAGGGGCATGGGAACCAAATAGGGGTATGGGAATCAAATAATAGGGGCATGGGAACCAAATAATAGGGGTAACTGAACCAAATAATAGGGGTATGGGAACCCAATAATAGGGGCATGGGAACCAAATAATAGGGGCATGGGAACCAAATAGGGGTATGGGAACCAAATAGGGGAATGGGAACCAAATAATAGGGGTATGGGAATCAAATAATAGGGGCATGGGAACCAAATAATAGGGGCATGGGAACCAAATAATAGGGGTATGGGAACCAAATAATAAGGGTATGTGAGCCAAATAATAGGGGTATGGGAATCAAATAATAGGGGTATGGGAACCAAATAATAGGGGTATGGGAGCCAAATAATAGGGGTATGGGAATCAAATAATAGGGGTATGGGAACCAAATAATAGGGGCATGGGAACCAAATAATAGGGGTATGGGAACCAAATAATAGGGGTATGGGAACCAAATAATAGGGGTATGGGAGCCAAATAGGGGTACGGGAATCAAATAGGGGTATGGGAACCAAATAATAGGGGTATGGGAATCAAATAATAGGGGTATGGGAATCAAATAATAGGGGTATGGGAACCAAATAATAGGGTATGGGAACCAAATAATAGGGGTATGGGAACCAAATAATAGGGGTATGAGAATCAAATAATAGGGGTATGGGAACCAAATAATAGGGGTATGGGAACCAAATAATAGGGGTATGGGAACCAAATAATAGAGGTATAGGAGCCAAATAATAGGGGTATGGGAATCAAATAATAGGGGTATGGGAACCAAATAATAGAGGTATGGGAACCAAATAGGGGTATGGGAACCAAATAATAGGGGTATGGGAGCCAAATAATAGGAGTATGGGAATCAAATAATAGGGGTATGGGAACCAAATAATAGGGGCATGGGAACCAAATAATAGGGGTATGGGAACCAAATAAGAAGGGTATGGGAATCAAATAATAGGGGTATGGGAACCAAATAATAGGGGCATGGGAACCAAATAATAGGGGTATGGGAACCAAATAATAGGGGTATGGGAACCAAATAATAGGGGTATGGGAACCAAATAATAGGGGTATGGGAATCAAATAATAGGGGTATGGGAACCAAATAATAGGGGTATGGGAACCAAATAATAGGGGTATGGGAATCAAATAATAGGGGTATGGAAACCAAATAATAGGGGTATGGAAACCAAATAATAGGGGTATGGGAACCAAATAATAGGGACATGGGAACCAAATAATAGGGGCATGGGAACCAAATAATAGGGGTATGGGAACCAAATAATAGGGGTATGGGAACCAAATAGGGGTATGGGAACCAAATAATAGGGGTATGGGAACCAAATAATAGGGGCATGGGAACCAAATAATAGGGGTATGGGAACCAAATAATAGGGGTATGGGAACCAAATAATAGGGGTATGGGAATCAACAGGGGTATGGGAACCAAATAATAGGGGTATGGGAACCAAACAATAGGGGTATGGGAACCAAACAATAGGGGTATGGGAACCAAATAATAGGAGTATGGGAACCAAATAATAGGGGTATGGGAACCAAATAATAGGAGTATGGGAACCAAATAATAGGGGTATGGGAACCAAATAATAGGAGTATGGGAACCAAATAATAGGAGTATGGGAACCAAATAATAGGAGTATGGGAACCAAATAATAGGGGTATGGGAACCAAATAATAGGGGTATGGGAACCAAATAATAGGAGTATGGGAACCAAATAATAGGAGTATGGGAACCAAATAATAGGAGTATGGGAACCAAATAATAGGAGTATGGGAACCAAATAATCGAGGTACGGGACTGGAACCATGAACAATTTTCCGTGTTCCTATAAACATGATAAAATCCTTATGATGTAACTTAAGGTGTTGTGTTGATAGCTTTCTATACGTCAAGTTAAACCAAACTACTGACATCTTTTGAAGTTATACTGATACCTAACAGTACTGGCGATGGTGATGGTTTGGACAGTATGGTGAAGATGTAAGAACATATTAGGTATTCCATTGTGGGGATGTAATACTAAATAGGTTAAAGCCCCTCTATTTACATATTAGTTCCTCTGAGTCCCAACAGTAGACAAAGTCTAGTAATAATAATATAATAATAATAATAATACATATATATAAAATACATTGTTACATAAAGGTATACAGGCGATAGCTGACATCAATGACGTACTACTATATAGAAAGCCACTCGTTATGCAGAGCATTTCGGGCAAATTAGGTCAATTTTGTCCCCAGGATGCGACCCACACCAGTCCACTAACACCCAGGTACCCATTTTATTGCTAGGTGAACATGGCCAGCAGGTGTCTTAAGGAAACACATCCTGATGTTTCCACCCGTACCGGAGATTGAACCACGAAGTTCAGTGAGTGAGCTCGGTTCGCTACCAATCGAGCTACGGGTTCGTGTGCAACACTTAGTCTCCTATCATATTGTGAGTTGATGCAACGTTTCGCCTGTGTAACAGACTTCTTCAGTGGAAGACAGAGGAAGTACATGGGTGACACAGCAACACCAGGGCAGTCTTACAAGGACACCAGCGGAAATAAGTCACTTTATCTGACTTTTTTTTTGCTCGTTATCTTAGGTAAATTACAAATATGTCACTATGCTAAACAACCACAGGGAGAGTTGAATGATAGTTCTAGGCCTTCGTGTTGCAATCAACACATCAAGAGCTTTCAGAGTTGCAGAAAAAAGGACGAAGGCTTTCCTTGTGATCGTATCTGCTTGGACCTCGTCTCTTCTGCAACACTTCAAGCTCTTGATGTATTGATTGCAACACGAAAGGCCTAGAGCTATCATTCAACCCTCCCTGTGGTTGTTTTGCATGTTATATCGCTTGTTCGAGATTATTACATATGTTACTACGTATGATAATTCGTGTAACTGAATTTCTGTGCAGGTGATGACCTGCTGTCACTAATGGACGACGCTCATAACTGACTTAATCTATAAGCTGATACACCTCACTTACAGTTCCACGATATTAAGTCTCTTTGTCCTCGTACCTCTACTTTAAGCTAAGAGACTGACCATCATCTATCAAGGCTGACAGACTAATCACCTTAAAGTTCTCTTTCCACTACTACTCCAGTATTGCCATCATGTCTGTATACGAAGAATTAGACACATTTACAACATCAGAGTATCTTTATTTGTAGACGTTTCGCCATCCAGTGACTTTATCAGTACACGGACATAATGTGAAGACTGTAGAAGTATATACAAAAGATGAGATAATCAGTCCCTCAGTCTTGGAGTTGGTGAAGAGATAGAGACAGTGACACAGTTAAGACAGAGACAGTGACACAGTTGAGACAGAGACAGTGACACAGCTGAGACAGAGACAGTGACACAGTTGAGACAGACAGTGACATAGCTGAGACAGACACACAGTTGAGAGAGAGAGACTGACCTGGCTAAAGACTCTCTGCTAAGTCTGAACTTGTTGATGACACCAAGACTCTCCATCATGGAGATGACAGCCATGGGTGTGTGAGACTCAGGCAGCTGCCGGGGGAAGTATCTGAAATACATAACACAAGTCTTACAGACTTACACTACGTGGTTGACACTGACACACACAAGAGAATTACTAAAACTGGGCTGGATATTTCCATAGAGTTATTGTGTAAAGGACATATTAATATATATATATATATATATATATATATATATATATATATATATATATATATATATATATATGCAAAAAACCACTTGAAAGAATAGAGAAATTCCAGCGCTTTCGTGACTTACTCACATAATCAAGGAACTATGAAAGTAAAGCATCAGGAAGCTATATAAGGGGTCTGGCCAGCACCTCACTATCAGATCCCACAACGGTTAAACACCTGACGCGCGCCGACCCAACTTGGATAGGTCCTTTGCACAACTCACCCCACAAACTATTCTACCAAGAAAATTTAAAAATTATTTGTCCAGTTTTTTTTACTGTATCAAGATTTTTGAATATTAAAGTTGTATTCAAAAATCTTGATACAGTAAAAAAAACTTTTGATTAAGAATTCCCCCAAAATGCTGATGGATGTGTCTATAAGATCCTTGTAAAATTTGCGATAAAGTTTATTACGGTCAAACTGGTAAAAATCTCGAACTAAGATTAAAACAACATAAATATAGCATTAGAACTGGACAAGATTCCAATGCTCTATTTATTCATGTAAGAGATTTTAACCATCCAATTGATTTTCAAAAAGTTGAGAAAGTAGTATCAAGCAAGTCCATGGTCGACAGGAATATAATTGAATCTTGTTTCATAAAAAGCAGTTTTGACAATAATATGAATATTTCCTTTGGTTTATATAAATTAGATCCATTTATAATTACTAGAATTTGGGAAGAATTTAATAATACACTGGACAAATAATTTTTTAAATTTTCTTGGGTAGAATAGTTTGTGGGTGAGTTGTGCAAAGGACCTATCCAAGTTGGCTCGCCGCGCGTCAGGTGTTTAACCGTTGTGGGATCTGATAGTGAGGTGTTGGCCAGACCCCTTATATAGCTTCCTTGGATGCTTTACTTTCATAGTTCCTTGATAATGTGAGTAGTCACGAAAGCGCTTGGAATTTCTCTATTCTTTCAGAGTGGTTGTTTTGCATATTCTGAAATCACCTGTTTACTGTGATCTTATTGCATATATATAATATATATATATATATAATATATATATATATATATATATATATATATATATATATATATATATATATATATATATATATAATGTCGTGCCGAATATGTAAAACTGGTCAATTAGCAAGAACTCATTTAGAATTAAGTCCTTTCTAAAATTTTCTCTTATACTTTTAAAGATATATTTTTTCTTTAATGTTGATTAAAAAATTATAATTTTGCCCCAAAAAGGGAAACTTAGAAAACTTACCTAACCTTTTTAAAAAAAGAAAAATTTTATTTTAGCCTAACCCAATTAATAATTTTAGTTTTGTTTAAGTAATTTAATACAAAACAAAACAGGAAAATATTTTTTTCGTTAGGTTCAGAAGATTTTGGCGAAATTATTGCAACACAAATTTTCATTTGTCCTTAGGGCAAGATGAACGTTCTATTTAACCCAAAGATCGAAAGTTTCCTATTCGGCACGACATAATATATATAAAATATTATATATTTATAATAATATATATATATATATATATATAGAGAGAGAGAGAGAGAGAGAGAGAGGAGATTGTGTGTGTGATTTCTGACAGAGGTTCAGTAAGGTTCACGAACTTTGAAAGGTTTACTAGGCGTTCAAAAGGAAATTAGTTAGTTTGTGGAAAAAGGAAGCCAAGTGTGGTGTGTGTGTGTGTGTGTGTGTGGTGGGGGTGTGTGTGGTGTGTTGTGTGTTTGTGTGGTGTTGTGGTGTGTCGGGGCCACCATGATTACAACCACCACCACCACAACAACTACCCCCCCACCACAACCACCCACCCCCAAATCAGCAGCCCGGCTACACAACCACCAAAACCACCCCGGGCCCCAAAACATTACACCACAACCATGAGGAAGAAACCGGGGCCAACACGGAAACAGGGCCATAATTATCATTTCAACCCAAAATGACATGGGACACACCCCCGTGTTATTCTGAGACCCCTGCGCCTTTATTAACTTTCAAGACGTAACGGTGGTGTGCTGGGTAGGCTACAAAGGAAAGGTGGGGTAGACAGGAAGGAGGGGTGGGAACAGGATAAGCAAATAGACGGGAAGGCAGGTAGATATCAAAAGGCAGTGGGAAGGGGCAAGTAGAAACGGGAAAGAAGGAGGTAGACGGGAAGGCAGACAACAGGAAAGAAAACTAAAAAGACCCCTGGTAGACGGGTAGACTCGTTAGAAGACAATCGCCTACAGACTGACAGGAAGGCAGGCGCAGGTAAGACCCAGCAGGCACACCCTGCAGGGAGCCTGGAAGGCGGGTTAAAGGGAAAAAGGCGGTACAGACAGTTGGGACAGATTTTGAGCACTTACCGAAGGACAAAAGTCTTTGTGGAAGGCACGGGGGCAGCACCCCACCTCACCAGCCGGTCACCTCCTCCTGCGTCACCTGCAACACATACACACATGCCAAATCTGGGGATAAAAATGATAATGAACCGGATGAGAGAGAGAGAGAGAAGAAGAGAGAAGAAGAAGAGAGAGAGAAGAGAGAAGAGAGAGAGGAGAGAGAGAGAAGAGAGAGAGAGAGGGGAGATACAAAAATTTGGGGGAAAGAAGAGAGGGGGGAAATCGAACAACAGTGGACTTGCTAAAAAAGGGAGACCATGAACCGTAAAAAAGGGCAAACAAGACCCAATAAAAGGAGATGAAGAAAGGGACTAATACCGGGGAAAAGAAGAAAAAAAAAGTGAAAAAAAAGAGGGGAGAATAAATGGGGGAAAACAAGAGGGGGGAGAATGAGAAAATAAGAGTGGGAGAAAGAGAGAAGAGAGAGAGAGAGGAAGAGAGAGAGAGAAGAGAGAGAGAGAAGAGAGAGAGAGAGAGAGAAGAGAGGAGAGAGAGGATAAAAAGTAATGCCCCCCCGGGAAGCCATCACCAAGAGCAGCACAATACGTAATCCCACACCACACAGAAAAAATAAGATTTTGTTGGGGTTTTTTAACCCCGGGGGGTTAGCCAGGCAAATAACAAAAAGAAATCAGGGGGCGTCTCGGGGAATGTCTGTCTTATTTCCATTGTTGTTCTTCCATCTTGTCTCCCAGATGCCACCCACACCAGTCACAACACCCGGACCAACTTGCTTGCAAGTGACCGTGGACAACAGGTGTAAGGAAACACCCCCACAGTTTCCACCCTTGCCGGGGACGAACAACTAAACACTCACGTGGAAGTGAGATTTTTGTCTCCAGGCCAGGGGCCACCTACTAAACAGCCCCTCTCCCCAAGCACAGTATTTCTCGACACCCCGAACACCCAATAAAAAAAAAAATGTCCTGGGTAAATGCTGTATTTTCCACCCATTTACCAGATCCACGCGCCTGCGGTAGATAATTATTAATGACTGGTGCTTTAAAAGATAACACCTTTACGGAAAATTTTGGTAAAAAATGTTGTAAACACAATAAAAACTTGCAAAATGACGAGACTAACAGAGGAAAATTTAGGTACAGTAAACTTAATGAAACAGCCCAAGGTTTTAAAACTAAGCAATATTTCCTAAAGGGATATCCATCTTTAGTAGGAGAGAGAAAAAAAGAAAGCGTGGGAAAAAGTGGAACTACTGATTAAAGATAGTGTACGAATTTTCAAAAATTTAAATACAAGAAAAATGGAAAACAAAAATAAGAGATTTCGTAGAGGCAGTATAATGCAAGTAGTAGATTTGATAGGAGTAATGGAACAATGGTTTTTAATACTTGACGTCTGTTGGGGTGGCAAAGTAACTTTTATAAAAGGGGTTCAGGGAAACCGCGGGCCGGACTGGAGCCTGGAGAGGGAATACAATGTCTGACTCTGCAGGAGGGGTGTTAATGTTGCAGTTTAAAAACTGAAAGTGTAAAGTACTCCTGCCTTGGTGGGGATCGGGCCCTGTTTAATAAAAAAAATAATAGTAATTTTCCGGGGGCGTTGTCCCCCAACACTCCCAGCAGGAGACTCCAGGGAAATCCTGACCTTTTTTGTTTTTTTAAAATACTTGACCAGGTAGATGGTTCCTAGTCCTTTGGGAAAATTATCTAAACACATTCTTTCCCAAACCCTTATGAAATGCTGTCTGCACCATTATGGGTGCTGTCTGCACCCTTTTGGCTGGTCTGCACCATTAGGGTGCTGTCTGCACCATTATGGCTGCTGTCTGTACCCTTATGGCTGCTGTCTGCACCATAGCCTGGCATACCATTAACCTGCGCTATACCTTATGGCTGCTTCTGCACCATTTTGCGCTGTCTATACCCCTTAACCTCTGTCTGTACCCTTATGGCTCGTCTATACCATTATGGCTGCTGCTAACCATTTTACCTGCTGTCTATACCATTATGCGCTGTCTGCACCATTATGCTGCTGTCTATACCATTAAACCTCGTCTCACCATTATGGCTGCTGTCTGCACCCTTTGGCTCTGTCATACCATTAAAACTGCTGCTAACCATTTTGGCTCTATCTGTACCATTAGCGCTGTCTATACCATTATGGGTGCTTTCATACCCTTATGGGTGCTGTCTGTACCATTATTTGGGGCGTTCTAACCTTATGGCTGCTTTTCCCCATACCATTATGGCTGCTGTCATACCATTTTGGCTGCTGTCTTACCATATGGCTGCTTTCTAACCCTTAAGGCCTGTCAAACCAATGGCTGCTTTCTATACCATTTGGCTGCTGTCATACCCTTAGGTGCTTTTTTATACCATAAAGGGGCTGTCTATACCTTTTGGCGCTGTCTATACCATTATGGGGGCTGTCTATACCATTATGGCTTTTCATACCATTTGGTGCTGTCTATACCCCTTATGGGTGCGCTATACATTAGGGTGCTTTCTATACCATTATGGCTGCTTTCTATACCCCTTTTGGCTCTGCAAAACCATTTAAAAGGCTGCTGTCAACCCTTATGGCGCTGTCTATACCCTTAAGCCTGCTATCTGCACCATTACCCTTTTTCTACCCATTTGGCTGCTGTCAAAAATTATGGCTGCTGTCTATACCATTATGGCTGCTGTCTATACCATTATGGCTACTGTCATACCATTATGGCTGCTTCTATAAACCATTAGGCGCTTTCTATACCATTTTGGCTGCGTCTTACCATTTTGGGTGCTGTCTATACCATTATGCTTGCTATCTGCACCATTACGCCTTCTGTCTACACCATTAGGCTGTGTCCCATACCCTTAGGCTCTGTCTAACCATTTGGCTGCTTTTAATAACCATTATGGCTGCTGTCTATACCATTATGGGTGCTGTCATACCATATGGCCTGTCTAACCATTTTCCTGCTATCTGCACCATTACGCCTTCTGCTACACCCTTAGACGCGTCTACACCATTATGGCTGCTGCTATACCTTATGCCTGCCATCTAACCTTATGCCGCCATCTATAACCCCTATTGTTGTATAAACTGCAACAAGACTATCCCCGAGCTGAGGGGTTAAAATTATTTTGGAAAATAAATTTTATCGACACTCCAAAAGACAGTGGGGCCATGATCACACATACAATAAAAAAGAATTTAAAAGCAAAGGGGGAGAAATTTTTTGATGCGAGGCACGGGGGGGGGGTCAAGATGGATTCAGGAATACTTTTTTTCATCCAAGGAGTGGGGGCAATGGAATGAACAGTTTACGCGGGGTTTAAAGGGAAATTCATACGTAGTTTTTTAAGATGAATTTTTAAAAAAGGGGGAGGGCCGGAGCTGAGACACGACCCTGTAACCACAAATAGGAGTGCATACACACACACAATATTTTAGAGATGGGACACAGCAACAAGAGAGTCACAGGGAAGTTAGGAAGAATTTCTTCAGTCACAAGTTGCAGGGAAAGGGAACAAACTGGGGAGTGACGTAGTGGAGACGGATCCATACACAGCTTTTAAAAAGAGGTACATAAAGTTCTGGGGCAGGGAAGAGTGGACCTAGTAGCGACCAGCGAACAGGGAGGGCCAGGAGCGTGAATCGCCCCTCCCAAACCCCAAATAGGGAAGTACAAACCACAAAAGAACACACAGGCCGCATATACAACAGGCCTAAACTAATCGACATGTCCAGACAAAATGGTAAAACACACACACACACACACACACACACACACACCCCACACACACACAAACAAAACCAAACACACCACACACACACACACAAAAAAACAAAAACCACCCCACACACACACACACACAAAAAAAACCTAAAAAAAAACCCACCAAAACAACCCAAAACACACCGAAACCACCACCCACCCCACCACCCAACCACCCAAAAAACTCCCGAAGTAAAGGTCCCCCACCAAAACCCCCTTCCCCAAACGCCCAACCCCCCCCCCATTTCCCCACCCCCCAACCACCCACTCCCCCCCACCTACCACCCACTTCCCCCCCAACCAACCCACCCCACCCCCCCCCCACCAAACCCCCCCATTTCCCACCCCCAAAACCACCCACTTCCCCCCACCTCCCCACCCCATTTCCCCCCCACCAAAAAACCCCCCCACTCCCACCACCTACCCCCCAACCCACCCCACCACCTACCACCCACCCCAAACCACCAACCACCCCCCACCCACCTCCCAAACCCCCACTCCCACCACCAACCCCCCAAACCCCCCACCACCTACCCCCCCCACTCCCAAACCCCCCCACCACCCACCCCCCACCCCCAACCCAAACCCCATTTCCCACCCCCAAACCCCACCCACCCCCCACCACCAACCACCCATTTCCCACCACCAACCCCCCCACCCCCAACCACCAACCCCCCCATTTCCCCCCCAACCAACCCCCCCACTTCCCCCCAACCAACCACCCACTCCCCCCCCACCAACCCCCCCATTTCCCCCCCACCAACCCCCCCACCCCCAACCACCTACCCCCCACCCCCACCCCCCCACCAACCACCCACTCCCACCACCAACCACCCACTCCCACCACCAACCCCCACCCCCACCACCTACCACCCACCCCACCACCACCACCCACCCCCCACCACCAACCACCCACTCCCACCACCAACCACCCACCCCCACCACCAACCACCCACCCCCACCACCAACCACCCCCACTCCCACCACCAACCACCCACCCCCCCAAACCAAACCCACCCACTTCCCACCACCTCCCAAACCCACTCCCACCCCCAAAACCACCCATTTCCCACCCCCCAACCACCCACTCCCACCCCCAAACCACCCATTTCCCCACCCCCAAACCCACCCCCCTTCCCACCACCAACCACCCCTCCCAAACCACCTACCACCCATTTCCCACCCCCAAACCACCCACCCCCACCACCAACCCCCCCCCCCCAAACCCCCAAACCCACCCACCCCCACCACCAACCCCCATTTCCCCCACCACCACCCCCCCATTTTCCACCACCAACCACCCATTTCCCCACCCC